CCCAGGTGCCCCTCAAGTCTCTTAATTCTAAATCCAATGCTCTCTTCATCACCAAATACAACTGTGGACCCCAAAGTTCTAAATGCTCTTTTATAACTCCCATGCCATCAGATGTCGCCTTGAATTATGCTCTGTGTGGTATTACTGACTGGTTAGAATGTCCCTCATTTTTAAAAATATTTTTTTCAAATATCACAGGTAGAAATAAACTCTGAAACCTGTAACAAAAGCATACAACTTTTAAAAGATGGCTATCCAACAGGCCAGAAGTGAAGGGAGTTCAAACTGCCCCTGAAAGCTTGAAGATGAGGCCAAAACCACCCCCTCTTCAACGAAATATCTGGTTCCAACGTTACAACATAAATGAACTTTCGACAACTGCACGTGGGTCTACAATGACCACTCAACTCTCCAACCTGTTGCGGGGATGACCACACTCACAGATCATCTCAGACCGCCAATAACATCACCAGGGGTGAAGGGAAAAGGTGCTTTGGAAACAACACCCTTTACCTGATCCTTCAATATCAAATGCCATCCAAAACTCTCCAAAGCATTTCTACATCTGTGGCACCTAAATTTCTGAATCCAAAAATAATTTGGGAGGACAAACCAAGTCCCCCCCACCCCCTTCACACGGGAAAGGCCCAGACCTGCCAGTTAGGCTTGATTAATATATATATTACACCTGACACACTCTCATTAGAACCTATTCCTTGTGAAACATTAATCATATTTCTACCAAAACTCATGAAGTCAGTTACTTCTGCTTTTAACAAAATGAAACCAATCTGATGTCAATTACAGTTTACACTGTAAATGAGAATCAAATTAAAGTTGTCAGTAATTAAAGTTTTACAAGCATCACAAAGTCAAAAACATGGCTTTCATGTAACCATAAAAATAACAATGTTATACATTGTATCTCCATAGTGAGAAGTGTTTCCTACAAGTCCTGGAATAAAGGATGATGTTTCTCCAGAAGCAAAGATCCCTGGAATATATGGCTGTCACTCCACAAAACCAGGGTCTGGATTTGGGTCCAAATCATCTGATCTGAACATATCATCTCATCATAACCTAATGTGACCTCTTTATACAAAAAAAAAAAAAAAATTATAACTCTTCTCTCGAAACAAACAAAAAATCATGCAACAACCATGTACCTTCAAAGGAAACTTTAGTTTTTAAACAATCACCCATTGTTGTTTGCATGGATTTTACCGACGAATTAGTGTTACGCATCTGCGATAAAGTGTCCAAAATGCTCAGTCTGTCTGTGAAAGGATCTGACCAGACTCTGACTTCGGAGTCCTCACCACACGGGCCACCGAACAGAAAAATCCAGGGGAAAGCCCCCGTCAGGAATTAGCCTGAACTTTTTATTTCCTTTCCAGGGCTGGAAATATTCGCGTTCGGAAAGTCCCGCAGCAGAACCGCATCTGCAGCCCTACAATCCCGCCTCAGGTGTGAATTTGAGCTGGGAGGCGCGGCCGCAGCGCCCTAAGCCCTGAGGACACCGAGAAGGGGCGGGCGAGGGCGCAGACCGGCCCGGGATCTCCGGGGCCCGCTAGCGAGGGGCGCCTCCCGCAGACAGCTCGCGTCCACACTCCTCCAAACCCGCGCGTCGCCGGCCCGCAGAGCCTCGCGCTCACCCTTGAAGGTGGCACTACAGAGGCTCCTAGGAGACACGGGCATTTCATTGAAAAGACTAAACGGGAGCGAATCAAGGAGCCTGCGTTAGTGCAGCTGCCAGAGCCTCCAGTGGGGGGCGGGGCGGGGGTCCCTCAGCGCCTCGGCAGGGCTCGAGGATG